TAATGAGGTCAGTTAAATAAATTATCTCCAGATTGATTCTGGCCTGCATATTTATACCTGCCTCTGGAAATTTCCACCATGTGCATCTGACGAAGTGGGTATTCACCCACGAAAGCATATGCTCCAATACGTCTGTTAGTCTGTAAGGTGCCACAGGACTCGTTGTTGCTTTTTACAGATCCAGACTAACACGGCTACCCCTCTGATCATTATCAGATTGCGCATTGAGAATTTCTTCCGTGGTTCTAAGTGCTGTATTTGCCAAATAGTGTCAGGTTTACAAAGCATTGCAGTCTTGCACACAAGTCCCTGATGACCCTCACATAAAAATAATGTGGTTCATGTTAAAGTTGGCTACAGTATGGCAACAATTCTCTTGCACCAAGCATGACTCTCTGAACTCCTACCAAAGCTAAAGAAGTAACGAAGCAGTAAAAACCTTGCATGCTCAATTGCATTTGATAATGTTTCCAAGTTCTCTTTGTTGGTTCCTTCATGATGAGTAATATGAGGCTAGTGGTCAACCACAAAGTAGCTGCATATTGTGTGCACACATATTCCTGCTTAAAAAATCCTTCCCAGCATAAAGCATTATTGTTTAAAAATTTACTTCCTTTGCTGTTTAAATGTTAGCAAACAAAATGGAGATGGTCCAGTTACTGCATTAGTAATGTCAAGGGATCCTAGAACTTTAGTACCATTTACCACTGTAATTCAGATGTCATTAAGGAAATTGACAATCAATCAGTCATTCCAGTATCTGACAGACTAATCCTCTCTATTAAAGATAGAGATGGGTTTTATCTGGTACCTCTGTTGTTTAATCTCATGTCCCATCTTCAGCCACTAACACAAAAGGAACAATGTAGCAACTAGTGAAAAGTCATTGAAGTTGTTTGTTAAATGGCAAAATTCGAGGTTGCTTGGGGGAATGATTTAGCTTCCTTTTGTAATCTGAATTTTATTCTAGCTGGAGGAGGCTGAAGGACAAGATGATGTGAACAGATACTCTCCTGAACCTGAAAGTCCAGAGGACTCTGAAAGTGACTCTGAGTCGGAGCAAGAGGAATCTGCAGAAGAACTGCAATCTGCTGAAAAAGACAGTGAAGCTGATGATCCAGAAAGCAAGAAAGATGTGAAAAGCAATTATAAAATGATGTTTGTTAAATCCAGTGGCTCATAACTTCGGGTCTAATAAGTCTTTGTATTTAAAGTACAGTAAGCCTTTTTGTTAGTGCAAAGTGGAGGACTGCTTACAGCACAGATTTTTGTATTATGATTTTTAAAAAGCCCTTTTAGATGAAAGAAAAAAATAGTGTTTGCTTTCAGATGCCATGGATGACATTTTTATGGGCATGAGTGTAATTTTTTGGGGGGTAAAGTATAAACAGATGCATTGGATGAAAATAAATGTAATTCCCAACCTCCTTTTACAATATTCTCTGAACCCACTCTCCTTCCATTGTAGTTGTCAAACCTCTGACACTACTTTCTTTGATTAGTGTCCTTTTGTCTTGGGTGTTTGTTTGAGAAATAAGGTTTCATTGGAGTTGCCTGTTGCTGTATTAATTATGATACAGTAGCAATGATGACAGTATTCTGTGGTGTAATACAGCTTCAACTATTGGTTCTGTTTGGTAATACCAGCAGTACAGTCTGACATAATTGCCAGAGAACAGGTTTATTCATTTAGGTCCTGATTCTGTAATGAGTTTCTGTGGCAGAGTTCTACTGCTGTCTGTAGCACTCCATCAGTGTAGGGGGCTCCTACATCATACCAGGATGCAGAAGAGGGCCTTTAGGGTACATCTACACAGAGCTTGGAAAAAAACTTTTGGTGGCCAAGGTGAGCTGACTTGGGCTGGAGCCTAAGCACTGATAGCCTGTGAGGGAGGAGGGTTTGACAGCTTGGGCTCCAGTCTGAGTGCACATGTCTACACAGTGATACCCTACAGCCTGAGCCCAGATTAGCTGACTTGGGCCAGTCACGGCCATGCCACGGGTTTTTCATCCCTCTATAGATGTACTTTTAGTTACTTCTCTAGGCCTGTTTTTAACAGCTATAGGACAAGAGGGATACATTCTGCAACTAGTTTGATGTTCCTGGGTGTAGATATACCTTTTGAAATGAAGGACGTTGATCCTTAAACTGCTTGAGTTGCAGTGTGCATGAGAGCTACGAAAAAGCAGCGTTGGGGGAGGGAGGTTGTTCTTGTATTAACATACTAGTTTTAATAATTTCTCTCTACAGAGGTGAGATTTGCAGGAGATAAAGAACCGAACCAGGAAATGAGCTCGTGTGAAAGGAAAAGATACTTTGCTATGGAAAATGACAGGTGCCTCAATTTAGTTACTTTTTTTTTTTAAAGAGGGGGATGCAGGCAAAGTTGTGGTATGCAGTCCCCCCTGACTTGAGTGCCACCAATCAAACTGAAGTGAAGAGAGTTAGTCACAATTACGAGTGAAAGGCATGCCACCTCTTACTTTCCTTGCACCAAATCCTCTAGTCTGTGCATAAAGAAAGAAACAGAAGTTCTAAGACATAGTAAGGACTAAAGCCCATATCTTCTGCAAATTTATATATTTTTGGTGTACTAAAGATCAAACTTCCATATTGTATGCATTTTCTCAGCTATTGTAATGGCATCTGTTTGAAAATTGATCAGAATTAATCTGAGGATCACAAAAGGAATGCCACATTGCACACATTCTGAATGCATTTCTTTCTGGGAGAGCAGGACTTTGTCTGCACCCACGTCTGAAAGAAAAAGCTTACCCGAGGCTCTTGATGAAACTTACAGAAAAAAGTGGTATCTGGTAAAGCTATGTTTCTAATTTACTATAATCTGTTGCAGTGATTATTTCCATACTGTTTGCTAATTTGTATGAGCTGAAATATGTACAGTGATTGTAAGATAATTGAAAATTAGTACTTCAGCCTTAGCTACACTGAAAGACTTTGAACAAATGTTACTTTATGGAAAAAACAAGCAGTATTAAACCAGATACGTGTGATTGTACACTAAATGTGACACAAAGTGACTTTAATCAGAATCTGCATTTACTTTTTAACCTAGTTTTGGAACATGAAATTGAGCCTGTTTCATTTTAAAAAATAACCATACCATATTTCACATTAAGTAAAGGAGTAGTGATTTGACACGGGAAAGGGCAAAGTGTCTGAACTTTTGAATTTAAGTGCTTATGGATTTGTCCCCCCATATGTTATTAATTTGATCCTTTTTATACTTATGTACGTTTCTGCAATATGCAAGGAAGTAACCCCTTCATTTTATTTGCATGTAAAAGAATGTGCATAGATTGTTCAATTATTAGGTACAACAATCATCCATGTAAAGTGTGTGTGTATATAGACACACACACACAGTATTTACCAACTACCTTATTTTGTTCTATTTTTAGTGGTTAAAATGGTGGCTATAAGATGCCAATATTCATAAAAGCACCAGGAATTCATCAACTGCCATTTTACATAATGTTAAATCACTGACCATCTTTTCAATGACTCCCACTATCTCTAATGCATAAATAAAAATTGGGAAGAGGTCATTATATAAGCCTATTGTTAAGGTGAAATGTGTATATTATGTTGTTTCACCATTGAGGAGGGCCTGTTTATATGCAACTTCCAGGATTAAGACATGTACAGTTGAGTACATTAACTACAAAGTGCATTTAAACGCCATGGGGATGCTCTTATTCACAGCAAAGTGGCCTTAGTTTGCTTTAGCTAAATCACCTTTGCAGATATATCTACACAGAGAAGATTATGGTAGGAACCATTTGCTTTTAATATATTTGTCATTAGTTAATGCCTTTGGTTTGCCTAGTAAGGAAAATACATGTGAAATTTGAAAGAGTTTCACTTCTCTGTGTCACTAAGAGGAAAACTATTAGGATATTGTCCCAAAAGGAAACATCTACCAAAACTACTGCTGGTCTGCTACTGTTAATATTGTGGCAGGTTTTCTCACTTAGGATTTTATTGAGCTGGCTTTCCTACAGAAGATGAGATTCTTGTTGACCAAAAAAATCTGAACTTCAGCTTCTGCAATGAGAAATCCCATCCAGCACATAACTGTCAACAGTCTCATGGTCTTCACCCATACTCTGAATGGAACCAACATCCATGCAGCACCTCTGTGTTGTGGAGTGTTCAACAGGCCATAGCTCTAGCATCAACTTCTCAGTCTGGTACATCTCTCCTAATTCAACCTTCCTGAAGGCCTGACATCAATTTCCTCCCAGCTAGAATGTTTAGCAGCACTTATGTCCACAGTCAGGTTCTTTTAAACACAGGTTTGAGAGAGCTAAAGAAAGAGCAAAAATGTTACTGGCACACCTAGCCAATCTGGATGTTTTATACACATGAACAAAAACAGGATTAAAAGTTTTAGATCCTGATCCTGCAACTAGTTGCATGCTAGCAGACTATACACCTGCCCTGAGCCCCTCTGGCTTCTGTCCCAGGATTTAGGCTCAGGTTTCTTTCATAATCTTCATTTCATGACTGCTCAGGTAGTATTGTAGCACAGCAAGACACTTACTAGATCTTTCTGTTAGCAACCCTGGTTTATCCTTCAGCACCCATGTAATCTCTCAGGTGCTAAAATCTGCCTGGAGCTCCTCGGCTGGTACAACAACATCTGAGCAGTATGTCAGATAAGGGAGTAGTTCTAGGTACTTCATTGCATTCTTCCCTGCCAGGCTGTGGGAGCTCCAGGAAGATCAGGATAGCGACTGGACTGACATCTCCTTGGGACCCACTACCCAGTCCAGGGGAAGGAGAAGCTGAGAACAAGCTACCCGTTAGTGCTCCCTGATTCTCTGCCATAGCCCAGGTTATAGCAGCCCAAGGGCTACTCTAATTTGCACCACTCCCTTTGTACCATATAATAGAATTTGCCCCCAAAATATTGATTGCAGCCCCACATCATTATACATCCCCAGCCTGGTGTAAATTATATATTACAGTTAATGGTAACCTGATCTCTAATACACACAGAAGAGTCTTTAATGGAAAAATCAGTATGCTACAGGATGGAGCTTGCTTAATTCTGTAGGTGACCCTTTCCCCTCTGCATTGCTATGGAAAAAGTTCCCAGGAGTGGTATTAGACTTCACCATTGACTTACATGAGACTTAGCACATGCTTAGTAGTATTGCTGGATCAGGGAAAGTGTGTTCAGGTCCTTGCACACTTGAAGGTCCTAGGCTGTTGTGCAGTGTTACTGTGCACTGTAAAAGAGCAGCTGAGAACCACCCCAGAGGCGCTTTGTTATGAAAGATACTCTATTAGTTTTAGATATTAGTATAATAGTGATAGGTAAATAAATTAACTTTATACATAAGGATACAACCTTTCTGTAGTGTTGGTTTCTGCTACTATGTCAGCCCTACATTGTGAAATAGTTTCTACATCAGAATTGCATTTACATTCAAAGATAGGCACAACTAGTGCCTCAAGAACCAAGTTCTCTCCCCCTGGCTGTACATGCATCCCCATTATTACTGGAGATAGGAGCAACAGTAAAAATGTGGTCGCAGGTAGTCCTACGTTTTACAGAACAGCCTCACTGATATTTATATACAAATAGTAACATGGAGACTGATGTCCTTCAGGAAAATGGAATTAAATAAATCACTAGCACTTCTAATTTAGGTCTCAGTTGTGTCAAGGATAAGTGCCTTAAACTCCTAAGTTATTACTAATCAAACATTTAAATTCAACCTTCATGATGAGGGTAGCCCAAAGCCAGTATATTTTGAAAGCCCAAAACAGGAGACAGAGAAATCTGGATCTCAGTCTTCTGCTATAACTTGATGAAGTCAAAAAAAGGCTGTATTTGAAGAGAAAGCAAATGAACAAGCATACAGTCTATATAATGGCTTAGTGCACACTTTTGCAATTCTCATCACTGTCAGTATGTAGGTAGCATTAGCACACCGTCTTGAGGAGATGGGGTACCCTTTTGAACAGGCAGAGCATTGGAATGACCCATCCCCCTCACTTCTTTGTACGATGGGGAGCACCTTGTGAGAAAGCAACATCACTACTACCCGCTACTCCAAAATCCCCTTATGAGAAGATGGTCAAGAAAAAATGCTTCCAATAAAAAGGGATCCCTTTTTCTCCTACCCTTCAGATGTGAAGGAATTCGAGGGCCAAGTACTATGATATATAAGGTGCTCTCTGGCTTTACACAACTGCTTTGCAGTTTACACTCCCCCTTTTCTTGAAGAGGAGCCCTGGCAACTTTATTCCTGAAAGTACAATTTTTAGGACAGCTTCAAAGCTAAAAGTCCTTCTACAGCTGTGGTTGGGGAATTCACATCAAAGAGGATGCGCACATGTTGTTCCAGTGTCAGCGCTGACGCTTGGTGGAAATCTCTGTGGATTTACTACAGTCCCCAGAACAGAGATTAAATTATGCACTGAAGCTGCCTCTATAAACTGCAGGAGACAAAGAGAATAAGTGGCAGTGCACTTTCTCATAATCAAAGCCTGGTATCGTTATTTGCATCGGTTTCTTGTGAGCTGTCAGGGGAAAGTGAAAGGGACATGGTGTCAAGGGACAGAACAGAGTGCTATCTGGGTTTTAAAAGTGACACCAACTACATTTTTTTCCCTGAATCTTTGAGAAATATTACCCAAAGAGTGTGTTCCTCTGGAGCACTATTCCTGATGCTTATATTCCCAGGGGAGAGTTAAAAGTACAGTATGAGACTATGTTAAAGGCCAGCAGTTCCTGCTATATAATCCATCCAACTCTGAAGATGGCATTTAAGGGGTCTCCACGCTCAGTGGGACATAGATGGAAAAGGAGAGAAAAGAATGAGAGGTGGTGGATGCCAGAAAAGAGACCTCAAATAAGTTATGTATCAAAAGTCAAATGTTCCAGGACTGATCTGAATGGAACCTCCCTGTGTTTTGAGGTTTTCCCATTTACTAATCTTGACTAGCAGACTGACTCCTTTTAGCCATTCCCAGTATAATGTCACACCAGAAAACTGTCTTGTAATCAGGTGGTTTTCAGCTCTTTCCATATCAGAGGTAGGTTGCAAGCTACCCACACATCAGAAACAACTCAAACTAGGTTAAATAAAGCATAGAATGTTTTGGGGCTATAATACGATGCAGAAATGGAGAGGGGTCCACAACCTGAATAGCTCCTTTTCATCCTATTTATTCTAAGTTTTCACACAAATGTGGGATTCAAACCATTATGTTACTTATATGGACAAGGCTGAGATCTACTATTCATGAAAGCTACAAAACTATAGTGTTATGGGTCTTGTTTATTATAACTATAAATAGTAACAACTTCTCTTTAAAATGCAATAGTTCATGTATTTTCAAGTGATAAGCATAACTAAAGAAGCAATCATTGCATAAGTGACGTGCTGGATTTTATTTAGTGTGTTAAAGAGCTGAAGCACCTACTGCTATCCCAAATAAGAAAAATAAAAACAGGCATTTGGTTTGCAATTTACTCTTTACTGAACTCCTTGGATATTGCTTATTTACAGGCTTCAGGCTGGGTACCTGGTCCGGTAAAACTATAACTGTAGGAAGCTCTCCTCCCTTATGGAGTCCTCGAGTTTCAGAGACACCTCAGACCTGAAGAAGCAGTCCACGCCCTACCTGATGGCTAGTTTCCTGGAGCTATTTTGCAGCACTTTTTGATTCTTTCTTATAACACAAAGATGTAGGAAGGTTAACAGAATACATACTGCCACTGTTGTAAGTCTTGTTAACTGGGCAAAGAGAAAAATGCAAGAAATCCATCCACAAATTACAAATCGGAGACAAAAGGCGATTCTTGTAGACAATATATAGTATGGGAGGAAATCAAAAGCAGTTGACCCATCTGTCTATTTAGCAGAGTTGAACAATCAGAAAGGGAATCCATACAGGCAAAATAATCACTCAGAACCAGGCAGCAGTTTCCTTTATCATCCCACATTATTCTCTTTCTTTTCATTTAGTTTTCATAGTAGTAAAG